GAGATCACTATTCTCCATTACTAATACTAGCATGGCTTCCCCATTATAGACTCCATTTGTCATAGCACGTCCGGTTTCGGATGTTTCTGCTCGTGGTCTTGCGAAGCTTAAGGACATATTTGATCCTCTCAAGAAAATTGAAGGAGATAAAGGTAATTCAACCCAGTAAACATTATGGTCCAGGCTGATTCGGCAATTTGTGATGCGCCTGATGATGGGCTTGGTTGTTTCCATTTCCCTTAAACCTTTGAGTCTCCTTCTCTTGCATAACATTAATTTTTGACATATTAATTCTTATTGCCCACTCCATGTACTTCTATTTACTTCTTCCATTCCATTCTTTTTCTTCTTTTTTGTTCCCTTTCTCTCATTCTTCCCTCTTTATCATCTCCGCAACCCCAGCTCCATTTTACCCTTGGAGGCGTTTTCTATAACTAAGTACCAGTTTGAAGCTAACGTTTTCTACTCTATTGCCCCAGATGAAAAACCGAAAGGCAAACCCGAAAATGGGAAGGATAAGGACAAGGAGAATGAAAAGGGTTCGACAGATAGAAAGACGTCCAAGAAGAAGAAGAAGTTCAAATTGAAGGATAAGCCTAAGCAAGGAGGAGGTGGAATATCCACAGCTGCCACTGGCCCAAAAACACCTCTGCTCTTCTTAGGGGCTTTGTTTGTTCTGGTTTTGCCGTTGATGGTTCTCTGATTTTTGCAGATTTTGTTGAACTTTCGGGAGATTTCTTTGAGATAGAGAGATAGACTTCGAGTATTATTAGCTGACTAGCTAAAGAGTTGATATTTGATTCTTTCTTTGGGTTAGACTTTTTATTTTTTTTATTTTTTTTTTTTTTGCCAACTACGTAGTCTTTTGTTATGTTTTTTTTTTTTTTTTTTTTCTTTTCTTGAAGCTACTAATAAATTTGATATCAATGGATGACATGACATCTTCAGTAAGATTCCGTCCGCTAGTTTGTTGATTAATTCGCGCCTACATATATTAGACTTGCAACACGTGTCAGATCCATTTATACTATAAAGTATAAACTATACTATAAAGTATAAACTATACTATAAAGTATAAACTATTTTCAAAATAAAGGTGAAAGAAGTAGAAGAGAAGTATATGAGGTAAAAGGTGCGTGAACAAAACAAATTAGATAAACAAAGTGAACAGGGTACTAAAACGCCATGTTGATTCCTTCAGTTAACTCATTCAAACTGCCCACCAAATCGCATATCGCAGTGGCAAACAAATAAAGGTAACAGAGTATGGGAAAAATGCTTATCAGAGACAGCGTGTCCGTACCTTGATGCGAAAGAAAAAGCATCCAAACTGAACTATGCAATTGGATAAAGCAGAAAATCTAATGGGGGTTGATAAGTTGAATGAGTCGAAAAGAACACTCATAACCGCCGCACAGAATTTACAGACCCGCAACAATCATCAGCCCATAGCCCACAGTCACCACCACACCATATGACAAAATACTCGCCGGAACACCGCGAGTAATAAAGTGGCGGACACGGAGATATCGTTGGCCCGTTTCGGGGACTTCCATCATAATAGCAGCTATAGACAGGAAAGAGATGTGATGAGCGAATGCCAAGAACTAAATTTGCGTTTCAATAAGTGGTTTACTTACTCATATTTGGAAACCCGCTGGTCGGCAAACCCATGGCAACGGAGCACATCAGGGCACTGCCCATAACCAGCAGATTCGGGTGGGGCTGATTCATGCTTGCGCCCACCTGCTGGACAAGTGGGAGCATAATCAGGGCTGCAACGGTATGCGAGATGAATGTAGCCACAACTAAGATGAGGCCTGTGAATGATATGAGGACACCATACAGGCTGAAATCACCAACACGCTCCGTGATGGCTTTGGCAATAGTATGCAAGAGACCTGACGAAGTGACGGCGTGTCCCAGACAGAGGCCGCCCGAGGCGAGGATGATGATGGTCCAGAGAAAGTTGTTGAAGTCTTCCTTGGTGAGAATTCCCGTGCCGAAGAATAACACCAGCGGGATAATGGCGATAACGCCAATGTCACCCAGGGTAGCTTCGAGCTCGTGGCTGACGCACCAGAGGATGATAGTGAAGAGGGTCACGAGGGTGACGAACCATTGCACACCAGAGAATTGGTCCTTGACTGGTCGAATGGGGACGATTGTAGTGCCACGACCCGGATGGAAAGTGACGAGAAGAAGAATCCAGATTCCGATGATGCAAATGATGCAAACGGGTAGGGCAATGAAGAACCAGGTCCCCCAACTTATGGCTGGATTCATGTTTTGGAGGGCGATGATGTTCTGCGGGGAAGCGATAGGGGATGCGGCGCCGCCGACGTTAGAGGCTAGGGCGATGCCCAGGACAAGGGCTTTAGAAAACCGGGAGTCTGTGGGGAGGTTTCGGAGCATTGGCTGTTGATTTATTAGGCGCCGTTAATCAATCAGACAATCCGAGCTTGTCTTTTGGTTGGGGGAATACTTGGAAAACAACGAACCTGGATGATGGAAAAACACAAAACTGGAGCCGCTACATTGCTAATGAACATACTCAATATCATACTGACAAACATATTCGTGACCAAAACAATTCGTGGTTTCGTTCCCGCTTTACTCAAGATAAATGTTGCCATCCTCCGGGCAATGTCATATTTCGACAAAGCAGCAGCAATAGTAAAGCCGCCAAGCAAGAGCATAATTACGGGCGTCCACATCGCCGCGAAAGCAGCTCCGGTTGCTTCTCTTGAGCTTAGGCGCCGGTAGGGTTTCTCTTCGGTCCGCATAATGCGGAGAGTGACCACAAGGAAGGGGACAAGCAATGATGTGACGAAAAGTGGGATCACCTATATTGATAATATAATTTTTATCAGCAAATGTACCCAAAGCCGTGGTTATAAGCAATAGTGAAACTTACCTCCGTGGACCAGAGTAAACTGACAAAAACCAACATGGCTAGGCAATTCTGTTGCTCTGGCTTCGACATAATCGGAAGCACCAGCATAACGCAGAAAATAACTACGATGGCTACCAGCATAAAAAAAGTAGAGCTAAGTAGCCACGTTGGGACGGGACATCGCCCTACCGGAGTCACAATTTCCTTGCTGGTAGGCTCTTGCTCATCACCCCTGTCTCTGTGCAGTCAGAGGATCTAGGTCCCCCTGCAAGGAGCGTCCGTCGTACGCCCATATTCGCTGCTTGTGATTTGCGTTCGATACCAATCATTTTCCGCCACACAGTGTTCCGTTCCCACACAACATGTTCCCTGAGATGTAATCTCAATTCCCGCTTGGAAAGCGCGAGGTCACCCTTAGTGACGAGCTCCGCATAGAGCTTCTCAATTCCAGAAATGCGGGCATTGAGCAGCTCCATTGTGGGGATTCGTAAATGGATAGGCAGTTAAAACGATAGTGTTTCATATACTGACGCCTAAGACTGCGATCGAGGGTGTTTATCATACTTTTTTCAATGCCTTCGTGAAGCCCGTTCGATTGAGTTGGATGAACGACTTGAAGGTCGCCAAAGCGAAACATATATGCTAAATTATGCGCCTTCTCAGCGATATGGCAGAATTTTATAAGCGGGAATAGTTGGGATCAAGAGTAAAATCGTGATCCGTAATCAGGCCACCGATCGGAGCTCTCAACTCGCTCATATTGCTCACAGAACGGTCTAGCAGTTCACTAGCCACATGCTTGGGGTTGTCCTTCCTGAGCGAGCGACGACGTCCGGGCTGGATCTTGGGGTTCATCGA